AACTATGTGAGCAACTACTACTGTTCAAATACCTATGGAGTCCAACGAACAAGTGTGATGCAGAAGATTAAAATAGTAGCGTTTGACATAATTGCTATTAGATATCCCTAAATCTTATGCTAAATGGAAATATAATTTCATTAGTTCTATTCAAAATCATTATCTTTTTAAAGTGAAAGGTACCATGCAGTCTTCTTATAAGTGCCAGTAAACCCAAAATTATTTTTAAAGGCTTTTACTGCGTGCCAATGGTGATCTATCATACCTAAAACATCCTACCTTCTATGTCGCAGGGGAGATGCTACAATTTTACCACTTTGTTACAAACACTTAAGTAGAGAGGGAAGAAAAGCAATTCAAATGCTCAGCTTGATTTGGTGTAACAACCAGAAGGAAAACTGTTAAGCATTCCCCATAGATTCTGTTGTGACAGAAGGGTACTGCACATTCACACAGTATCTTCCCTCTTACTCTTCTTCTTACCCCAAAAATTACCAGGGCTTTTTTTTTTTCTTCCCTCCACTTAAATACATGCACAAAGTACATCAACAAGACATGCAGCAATGAAAGTTTCAGCAATGCAAAAGAAGTTTAACAATTTAGCTGGTAGGAATACCTTTCCTCTCTCCCTCTAGGGCTCTCTGAGGAACCTGAAATCTGGCAGACCAAGTCTAAAATGAGAGATGATCGGGCAGTATTTAATATATGTACAGTGTTTATATTGTGACACACTTTTGAATTAAGTTGTATATGGAGTTGACATAATAGATGGCGTCTGACAACATGGTTATCTAAAAGCCACAGTGCCCTGAATCTGTCTGATAATTCCTTCAAAATAATGCTGGCCTCAAGCTTGAAACGTGGTTCAAAAGTCATGAAAGTTGAGGTCACCACTCTGATCTTTTCTCCCCTTTCAAACTGGCAACTCTAGTTGTAGTTGAAACGGTTGCACTTCCAACACAACTGTATTTATTTAGAAAACAAATATTTGTAGAATAAGTACAATTTTTTGAATGAAAAATACCGTGTAACAATCAACCCTGCCATTATCTCTTCTAAATAAAACCAGTTTTTGCATGTCTTATGTGGCCATGCCAACTGTAAAATGCTCTTGAAACATTCACTGCACACCACCAACACCTTAAGGAATTTTTCATTCCAATAATTAAACCGTAGCAGAAAAAAAAAATTTATCTTTAAATCCCTTTCAACAGCACAGCCATCCTACTCAGAAGCTGTATAGAGATAACTAAGCTCCTTAATTCCCTCCTATTTAACCCACTCCTGAAGACTGATGTTCTAATGAGATATCATTAGAAGATTCTATCCTTTGATGTAAAGTGTTAGAAATGACTACATAAAACAGTCCAGGCTAAAACAGACATTTAACTCTCGTACAACTAGTTAACACAATGCAGCTTTGGAGTTTGTGTACTTTTCTACAACAGACAAAGTACTGAATGACAGGTCTGCCTCCAGGCAGGTCAGAGAGATCAAAATAACCCACCCAAAGAGCAGGAAACCTTTCTGCAACTGTTGGGATAGCAGAAACCCTGACACCATAAAAGTTTCTAAGTCTGTCAGTTGGTTCAGTACTGATTAATTATTTTTTTCTTTGGCTGCCTGGCAGCAAACAAAAGATAATCTTGCACCTCAACAATCTAGGCACTAAACATACAGGAAAACTTATCTCCTGACTTAGGACATAAGATGACAGGCAGAGCTGGTGAAAATAAAGATGCACTGCCCTAAGAGCCAAAGGCAGCAACTCTAAGTGCAGCAGGATTTTTAACACCCAAGCAACTCTACCTCTTGGCACTAGCAGTTGATTTATCTGCTTTGCCAGCCACAGATGTCATAGTGGGGAAAAAATCTCACTTGGACAGTATAACACTGAAAAGAAACTTAAGACCACATCAAACATTCCTATTCATTCTGTCTTCTTGACACATATGAAAAAAATATCTAAATCAACCTACACCTAATTAAACAAATCTTGAGGCACTTGTTTCTGTTTCAGGAATGCAAAACTTGGTCAGTAACTGTTCACCTTAAAATAATTTCTAAGAAAACAGCGTAAGTGTCCACGCACAACATCCTCTTAAGAACTAATCTTTGAAATTCTTTAATAAATTTAAAAACCCACGCAGAAACAAGATGAAAACAAGACAAGCAAACAAACAAATCCAAATACAAACCAGCCATGAATATGTCAAAAGATTATTTCCTGGTCACCATTCAGCCAGTAGGTTGAAATGCAGCAGCACCTTCACTTAAGCATCGAGTTTTGCAATTAAACACCACAAAGTGCCAAAGCTAAAAGTTGGGAGGGAAGCCTTACCATGGCCATTTCTGAACTTAAATGCAACATATTCAAGTGGAAAGTTTACCTCAGTTAGCTCTGTTTATAACAACATTCAAGTCCTGACTAACTCTATTTTAGTCAAATGATAATAGATTACTACATTAAATGAAGAGGGAACTGCTGATGCAACTGTATCAATACAAGAACTTAAACTTTTCATTTATATATGCAGGCTAACTGCAACTACTTCATTGTATCTAAATGACTTTACTTTTAACAGTGATGTACACACCACACTCCATAAATAAACACTGCTGCAGTGCAATTTTTGGTTTTTCAAACAGCACCCCAAGCAGTCTGAAGAGCTTCACACAGAGCAAGTGCAGCATCCAAATAGGAGGCAAGCCTTAAAGATGTTAAAGCTTGTTCAGTGGAAAGTTTCCCCATCACTGCATTTTCCAGTAACAAAGATGTTGTCAGAAATGACAACTTTTCGTGTCCCCTGATGATGCCTTGCTAGCATTTGGTTATAAGCCATAAAGCAGGAATAATTTCAGCCTGTCAGGAGTCTAGCTAATGCCCAGTTTTCCCCTAGAGAGAATTCCTGTCAAATGTAATGAGAGCTCCAAAGGCCCTCTCTAGAACATAATGAGCACTTAGGCCATGCTGGTGATCAGCCAGTAAAAAGCATCAATTTGAGTCTGGCTACACCCTTGGGGGTAGACATCACCAGTTAATAAGAATTATGATTACTATCTGTCAAAAGCCTCCTCAGAACTCATAGTTAGCTATGGAAATTCAGAAGAATGTCATTGTTAGGCTTTTTTTCATTTCCTGTAATCTGAGACCACCTACATACTGAACTGCAACACCATTTGGCATCCTCACTGCAGGCATCTAAATCAAGAGTCTTTAATATGAACGTGGTACTTTTACCAAAAATTAGAATTACTTAACACGTAAAAGAACACTATCTGAGACTCATATGCAGAGAAATGTACTTATGCATTCAAAAGCTTATTCTTTTTTTAACAGCATACACAGAGCAAGCATGCACTACTCTCCCCAACTAGAATCAACACTGGTATAATGCTTTGTCATAAATCTTATAAGCTTTCGAAGTATCATTGCATAACGGGTACATAATTATAGTTGCCATACACAGAGAACATTAAACCCTTAGAATACACATATGTTCAGGTCAAAGTGGAAACCTCAGTTCTCACGCATTTTGATCTTGTGGGTTTAATTGATTTTATCTAAAGTTAATTCCTAATCCATTGACTGAAGCAACACATTCTCTTAAATATCTTCTGAAACTACGATCCATTTTGCAGCAAATGGACTTCCTATACAGATGTTGGCTTTCTCACAGGTTACTGTGTGCCAAGAAGTTGTTAAGGAGAATAAATCCAAGAAAAAAAATCTTCAAATAACAAAGCCAGGAGAAGTCACTGCACAGAAAAACTGACACCCTTCTAAAACACAAAATTAGTTAAGCTACAATAGACAACCAAGCCAAACACTACAATAGCTGTTTCATCTACCTATTTGGCTCACTACTTTAAAAAAAGAATGAGGTTGTCATAATACTTCTTCTTTTAATGGCATTTTGCATTGAAAAAAGTGTACCTCCAAAAACCAAAAGAATACCTACCCTGCTTTGCAGACAGAAAGTTATCATGGAATTACAATGTCACCTTTCCAAATATAATATTTTTAGAGGAAAGCAAAACAAAACAAAATCAAAGAGTTCAGAGTTACAAAAGCAAAATTCAATTCTGCAATTCACTTGCTTAATGAATGTCTTTGAATATACTGAAGATCTGAAGCCTGAACTAATCAATTTCTTCGCTGTGCCCTAGCCGGTCAGCCATGCTCTTTAATTTAATGAAACAAGAGTTTTAGATGAAATAGCACATACACATCAAGAAAGAATCGTATTGTTGCACTTTGAAATGTGTCCAACTGTGCAACTTCATCTAATGATAATTTTTTTAAGAGGCCATCGATTTCTGAAAGACTTATTGTACTAGCATCTTGATGAAAAAGTGAATGTCAGCATATCTACAGAATACTTACACCCTGCCATTAATGCTTTATTTGACAGACAATGACTACTCAATTGAGGGTCCTCTGGGCTGAGCAATCATTTAGCTTTTCTTCTCTTATGAGGTCCTTAGTGTCTTGTTCCAGTTCAATACTCTTTTTATTCACCATTTTAGTGGCCATAAGTGTGAATTTTAGGGGAACTTGCAAACTCATAACTAGAGCTTTCCAAGTCACTAATCTCTTCATACCTTTATATGGCAAGGGTTTAAGCAATTAGCACAATATATGCTACACATGCATAAGATCAGTTATCAGAGTCTCTACCACTAACAAAAGAAAAACAGTCACCCCCCAAAAAAACCCACAAATTTGTAAAGTACTGAATTATATTTTAAAACCACAGACACAAGACCCTTCCTACTTATGCCAGTGTCTTTCAGCACCACTACCATAAAGGCCTTGTTGCTTATTCTAATCTACACCATATTTGACAGGAGGTAGGCAAAGTTTTACTAATCACAGCTACAAATCAGGCTATTGATTCAGACACATGATACAATCATCTGAACATAAACAGCACAGCTACATTTAAATGCACGGGAGAAACTGCTGATTTTGCGGTTTAGAAAACAAAATGCCTTACCTGCTTGTGCATTTCAATGTTTAATCCATACGACATTTCATAATACTGCAAATAAATGAGCATACATTATTTTCTTAGGCTAATTTACATTGTATTAGGAGATATTTACTGAAATAAAGATAAAACAAATACACTTACCATCACATAATGCCTCTGCATTTCTGTCTTTTCGCTTGCCAGTTTCTCACATTCCAATTTAAGGCTACAAAACAGATCACACTTTAATGTAACTTATGTCATTTGTTTTGACATGTACCCACTGTATTTGTATTTTGGCAAAAGCTTCTAATTAAAAAACCCTCATAACTAACTCACAGAGAGAAAGACTTAATTCATACTTTAAATACAAAGGCTGGAGAAGGAACTTATAAGTCATTTCATGGATGCTGTATGAGGCCCAAACTGTCTCCAGAACCTAAACATATCCATTCTTCATGCTTTGACAAAGAGCTGCTATTAAGCACTACAACTTTCAAGGAACTGAATTTCTCCAAAATACTTCTCAGGAATAAAATGGATAAGACAGAGGCATCTCTCTGTACACATGTTTAGTAATTACTGCCGAGCAACACTTTTACAATTACAACTTGAGGATAATTCTTACCTTAAGCACACTCTAGTAAATGTTACCTTGCCCACAGCCTGAAAGATCGGTAACTCTATCATTTCCAAGCAAGTTTCTTTTCGATTTTTGTTTCCATAAACAAAAGTAAGTCGCATCCAGCACTTGCATATCTCATCACAAACAACGGCATAATTCTACTTTCACTGAGGGCCTCAATATTCCCTTTGTTTTCTGTCAAACTGTTGGTTTTTTTAATGATACTAGTTAGCATCCTACGGAACAGTTCCTGTGCAAGCCAGCATTTTTGACTTACAACTATGATAACTAATGTTTATAGTTTACATTGTATTTCTTAAGTAACAAATGGCTTACATAAGTTAATGACTTTTGATAAGACTACAGTATTATAGGTAAAGGAAGATTTCTAACTGGGAAACCTGCAAAGTTTTTACGTCTCTCCAAATATTGCAGGTGCACGTTAGGTACATAATTAAGGTAGATTAGTCCTCCTTAACGCCAGTTGTCCAGGCTATGAAAGAACCTGTACCCTAAATCTTTGCAGGGACTTCAGCAGCAAATCCACACCCACCAAGGACTTCTAAAGGCCAGCAGAGCAACGAGGAGCGCAATCCCACCACTTCCATGGATTCACGTCAGTTTGTGTTACTGCTCAAGGTACTTGTGTGCTTTAACAGTCCTCCCTGGCTCTTTGAGCACGGGACGTTGGCGTTTTATTTATCTTTCCATTAACACCACACACAAATAAGCAAACGTGACAAGTAGCCTCCTTAACGCGCTGTGCCACAAAATCTGCGCAGGCCCTCACTCGATATACTGAAATGACCCCTTCTCATAAGAATCCCTAACAAACACTGTTTTATTTTTTATGCCCACAAGTGCTGAACTTCTCCAGCTCCGACACCACACCCCTTTGGTAGCTACCCGCCCAGCACACCAGCGGGCAGGCCCGCCCAGAGCAGGGCGGGCCCCCCCACGCGCCTCGTCCCCCCGGCATCCCGCGGTACCTCTTCGGCCGGGGCTGTCCGCGCCGCCCCTCCCCGACCTGCCCAGGTCCCTCGGCGGGGCTCAGCCGCGACGCCACACGCCACCGCCTGGACGCGCCCGTTCGGTGCAGCCCCCGCGCCTGGCCTGGCACGGGGCGGTAACCCCTGGTCCCGGGGCGGCCCGCGGGCGCTCACCTGTGGTACTGCGCCTGGAGGAACTGGAACTCTTCCTTGATGCGGTCCAGCGACTCCGGGATAGTGAATTTGAAAGGCTGTCCCGCAGCCTGGTGCGAGGTCTGGCGCGGTGGCGGCCGGCACGGGAGAGAGATGCACGTTCAGTCAGAATGCGGCCGCCCCGCGGGGAGGAGGGGTCGGCACTTTCCACCGCGGCCGGGCCGGAGGGATGGAACGAGCACCCAGCCTGCCCCCGCCCCGGGGCGCTGCGCACTGGTTACCCACCTTCCCGTCCCTCATATGCGGAGCAGGGGTCGAGCTTAATCGCGCTCCTGGAGCCGCTTCGGCTCCGACCCACCCGCTCCTGCCGCCGCCGTCTACACCAAAGCGGGGCGTGCCCGCTCGTCACCGCCGACCCCGCTGCGGAGGCACAGCCAGCCCCATCCCGGGGGTCGCGTTCGGCGGATGCTGCCCGGACCGGCGGCGATCCCCCGTCGCCATTTCCAGGAAAAGTAAGTTGCCCACAAAACAAGAAGGGGAAGGGGCACGTCCCGTTCCCGGCCGCTCCTGTAGGCAGGATGCGCCGCTCCTCTCAGGAGGGGATGAACTTGTGAGGACGCCTTCTACACAAATCCCTACCTCCAGCCGGACTAGGAAGCCGGAGTTACGCCCCGGACCGTCCGGCTCTCGCCCCGCGCCCTCGCCCCGCGGAGCGGCGGCCCGGGCCGTACTTACGGGGTGCCGGCTCTGGGGGAACATGGCTCCGGCCGCGGCGGGGCTCCCTCGCAGCGCGGTTCTCGCGGCGAGATTCCCCGCCTGCCCCGGCTTCACACCTGGTGCGCCGAGGGGACAGGGGCGGCGACACCCGCCGGCCCCCTTCCCTCCGCCGCCGCAGGCAGGAGTGGGGCGAGGCGCCGCTCAGTACCCCCGCCGCGGGAACATCCTCCGGCCGCGGCGTCCTTTGTTGTTGTCGTTCCCGGGAAGGCTAGGGGTTGCCGGGAGAGGCGGACGGGCCGCGCTCGGGACGGTCACCACAGCTCCGCGCTCCTTCGGCGGCGCTTCGACCGGCGGGCGGCGCCCGCAGCGCCCGAGTACGGCGGGACGGGACCTGACGAGGCTGGGGGAGTGAATAATCCGCCTCACGGACTCACAAGTGGCCGATGAGACTGTAAACCCGGAAACCCCAGAGCGGAGGCGACCCCTCTCCCCACTTCTGCCCCTTGTCAAAAGGGGAAAATCCAGCCGGAGGAAGCGGGACGCAGTGTCAGCGGCGGCACCGTCGCAAGCCAAGGGGGATAGAAAAAGTCTCCAGGGAGGGACGCGCTGCTCCCGGGCGTCGACGCAGGGGCCAGGTCATCGGCACTATAGAAAGCGATGAACAAGGGAGGAAGACAAGAGGTGGAGGAAGGGGGCGGGCGGGGGCTCCGCACAGCCGTCCCCGATCGGAGCAGCTCCAGTAGCACATGCACGAAACGCTGGAGGGCAGAGGAAGGGATACCACACACGCAGCACAGGCTCTTCCGTTGGTTGCAGACAAGTCCCTCGGACAAAAGGAAAACAAACCCCTCAAGATGCCCGCTGGCCCGACCGTCCAAGGAAACAACCCCGTCTGGGGAAGAAAGAAAAAAAAAAGGAAAAAAAAAAAGATGAAAGCTTCCGTATTAGGGCTAAATCAGACGGGAAGCTCGTTCGTGTAACGGCACCACTGCAGCCTTCTTCGGGCGGCAGCGCATCTGGGAGCTGCGCGCCTCATCAGAGCCCGACGAGCGCGGTACATCGCGGCGACATCATCAGTAGCATCATCCTCATCTTCCCCCTCCCCCGCGCTGCCCTACCGCTCCTCGCCGACCCAGAATAAAGTTCTTGCCGGCTGAAAAATCCCAACCCAAGTGGACGGGAACCCCACTGTCTTCTTTCCCCCCGTCCCCTCCGCGCTAGCGGAGGGCAATGCGCGGGCAAGGTGGGACAGGAGCGCAGCTCTGCGCGCACCGCTTACATTAGCACGCGGTTTCACACTCCGCCGGCTACCCAGCCTGCGGCCCCGCCCATGCCGCCGCGCGGGGGGCTATCCGCCCAATCGCCGGCCCCGTCGCCAACGTGGGCCCGTGACGCGACGCGGCGCCGCGGGCCAATGGCGAGAACCGGAGTCCCGCCGCCTCTCGGCTTTGGCTGGTAGCTGTTTTCTGGCTGAGTGGCGGGAGCGCTCCGCGCTGGCCAATGGGAGTGCGCGGGGCGCGCGGCGCTGCGGGGGGCGGGGAAGGTCGGTGGGAAGGAGAGTGGAGAGGCCGAGCTGTCCATCAAAGTAACGTGGGCGACCCGCGCGGGCGGGGCTGCCGGCGGGCCGTGGGTGCGGCGCCTGCGCGCGCCCGGCATGTGCTGGCGCTGGGGTCGCTGCCGTGTGAGCGGAGCCGCCCCGCGCCCCGCGGGGGATCCCGCGCGGCGATGAGCCCGCGCGTTCTCAGCTCGGCCCGCGTCCAGCGGCGTCCTGTGCGTTCAGAAAAGGCGCTGAGCCGCCCCGTCCCAGGAACCCGCGCCGTCCCCGGGGCGGGCACCCGGCCCCGCCTCGTTCCCCGGCGACAGCGGCCGTGCTGTGGCACCAGCCAAGTGCGCCACGGAAAACGCCGGGAAGAAGGATGAAGACTTGCGCGTGCTTGCGTGGCTCGGGGCATGGCAGCTGCGTGGGTGGAAATGACCCTCTGGTCGGACGGAAGTTGTCCTTCTGGCTGCTTCCTAAGAGGGCCTGACAGAGGAAAGCTGTCAAGAACTTGGCTGTTGTAAATGGTGTATAGGCCCACTTGAGATAGATGAGGATCGAACAAATTCCACAGACTGTGTGTGATTGTTGAGGAGATAACAAATGGTGACACAGCTTGCAGTGGAAAGTAACTCCAAAGCATATCCTCTGTTAGCGAGCACCTTATTCATAGCCGATTTCCACAATGAAGTGTGGAATACTGGTACCCTTGGACTTAAAACAGTGCCTTAAGATATATTTGTGTTGTTAGTGTATTGTGTGCTACCTAAAAAGAGGTCTTAAATGTTGAATCGCATCATTTAAATGCGGTAAGGGTAATGTTATAATTTGCATTTTCTTACAATTGCCCACTAATGTTTATTACATACAGATTACTTACTTAGAATTGTATCCTAATGAAAGAGCAGTCTGTGCTTAAAATTTGATAGGAAATTTGATGTTTTGCACTATCAAGGTACAGCTTTGCCCATTCAGAGTGATAATTTCCATACTAGAGTATTCCTAGTTTTACATAGAAAACAACAACAACAACAACAAAAAATGAAACTGCCTCAGTCTTCTGCAGTGAAAAGTTTGGACTTCATTCCAGGACTGTGGAGTTTTGTCAGTGAGCACTGATGTCTCAGTGCACGTGTCTGTGTGCATGTATATGTCTTCATATAATGATGTCTGTACCTACGGGTGTACATATGTGTGTATGTTTGTGTTTATATATATGGTGAATATGTGCATACCTCTTTGGGAACAATAAATAAATATGTGGGCTTTTAATGTTTTTTAAGAGATGAGGCAAAATACCCTTGATAGTGACCTTTGATAGTATGTGGTTCCCAGGACAGGAATGTAAACTTGTCTGGTGTTCCGCCTCCATTAGCAAAGCTAAAAATCTTGCATTCTGTTCCCAGCTCTTCCCTTGTTGTCTTGGACAAGCCAGCTCAGTGCTCTGTTCATGGCAATGGAAAGCTTAATTACTTAATTTTAAGTACTTAGATCTTCAGATGAAAGATGCCATAAAAATGCAAACTATGATTATATACTTTGTCTGTGTACCTAGTATCTATGGAGTCTGCAATAATGTAACACTTACCTAACTTTCCCTGTACTTTGCTTAACCTTCTGGCACAAGTTGTTAATGGGATATTGACAGATATGACATTAAAACAACAGTGTGTTTTGAAACACAAGCTTTTTCTTTTTTTTTTTTTAATTGCTCACCTACATGAAAATTGAAATGTCTTGTAACCTGTATGTGTCAACATTGAAATGTCTAAGGCATGTTTTAACAGAAATAAAAAGCTCTGTTTTCCTGATTTTTATTGGCAAGTGCTTTTAACCTACTTAGATTCTGGAATCAGACACTTAAAAGCATTTTGAATCTTACCCACTGTAATTGAGATAGAAGAGCTGTACAAGCAGGAGCAAAATCAAATGTGATTTTTTTTTCAAATAAGAGCCACTGACATTATTTAATATAAATAATAACCAGCATGATCTGACATTTAACTTATTTATAATGCATCATCATTGGCTGATTAGAGCCTAAGAAATTCCTTTTGGTTAGATGGGTACAAATCTGGATTAATTCCAGAAAACTAAACATCCTCATTCCATGGCAGTACTCACTATTTACACCACAGAAAGGCAGGGCAAAATATGGCTAAGCATGTTGTAAAGAGATGTGTTCAACTCAAGGTAGCATTTTATACCAGATCGTTATGCCACAGTACTGTACATACTCTAGACAATTCTCAAACTTGGATAAAAATAATTCTTTTTAAACCTCTGTCTGATGTTTTAAAAGTACAGTAAAAAGATTGCCTTCGGTATTAACCCCCCAGTCATTCTGTCGAATCATCCATTTAACTCTGTTGTTTAAAATCAGTTGGTTTTTACTGTAAACAGTTTAGTGTGGTGTTCCTACCTCATATAGGAAAGGGCCTAATCCTACATTGGCTATGTACTGAAAACTCGCACTGGAAGCAGTTGCAGCTTTGAGTGAAAAAAAAAAACAACATTGGTTCCAAAATGTAGGTTGAATATACTGAAAGGGTTTCAGATGTAGTGTCTGCTCTTTAGGTAAATGATGTTCTGTTTATTGTAGTATATTTTTTTCCTTTCACCGTTCACAGTACTATTTACAAGCAATATTTTTTAACTTCTTGCAAACTGGCACATGTAACAAAAATGTTGATGGTGTTTATCACTACGAGTTAGGTGCAGGTGGGCGGTAAACGATTTAGCAAATGTGTGATTTGTCCCACTGTTGTACTCCCTGTGTTGTGAGAGCAAGTCAATGGAGAAAACAATTCTAGAATTCAATAGATGTTATGCCTTCACAGTTTTAGATTGAGAGATCATTGGATTTTCAACTGAAAAAGTAACATGCATAAATGCATGGGGAGTGGGGATTGTTTTATTTGGCTTTGTTTTGGTTTTGTGTTAGTTTTGTGTTGGTTTTGATTTTTTGTTTGTTTTTTTTTTTTCATGGCAGTATGGCACAGGTGAAATAGAGAAAAAAATCATACCTGAATCATACAGTACATGTGGTATAGCAGGGACTATATATACAGCTGAAAGAATAATAATTATTATGAGGGCATGCAAAACAATATCACTTTTAAAATATTTCTTTATTTATGAAGTGCAAATGATGTGAACACGGTAAAGCAATTACATTTCTAATTATTTGCTGTCTTTTGGCTAATAGCATCAGCATACCGTCTTTGTAATTTGATTTCTTTTTAATTAGTAGCTTTCCTTGTAGACAAGAATGTTCAAAAAGTTGCACTAGGTCATTTTACCATCCTGACTGCATTCCTTCACCCTTAAAAGTTCCCTGAGTTGAATTAAAAAAACAGAGTCAGTAGCAGATTGTGTGGCAGTAAAACCTCAAAATAAAATCAGATCCAAAGAATCCCTTTCAGTTTCTCACAATATGGTAAAATTAGAGATTGCAGGAAACCAACAAAAATAAACTAGGAACACTTGAAGAATGGTGTTATGAAAATGACACATTGACTGGCTAGTGTGTTTTTTTATCGACAATTTCTTTGTTGAGGCATAGATCAAAGAAACCTGCATATGTTTTCATTTTGTTCTAAGTCTAACTAGAAAATTACATCCAGATGTTAAATAGATATTCTGTTGTTTTTTCTGCATTGATTAGATATGTTGGTACTGTTTGCTTACAAGTGTAGTCGGATCATTAGCTAATGCAAAGAAATGTTTGTAGCGAGTTGCTAATTAGGTCTTTTGGAAGCTCTCCATACTAAGGAACAATTTGTACAGTGGCCAGAAAAACTTGCAGTACTTGAGAAGTCGCTTTCCTTCTGTGTCTGGGAAAAAATAGTCAGTTGCTTTCCC